GTTAAATTTATGAAAGCTGGAACAAGGACAATAGGAAAAAAAAATCACCCTTTAACTAAAGGGTGTGTTGCTTGCAAAATGTCTCTATTACTGAGTTACAGAGGCTTCAGGGAGAGCTGACCAAAAGCCTCCTGTTATTTCCATTGCATTTTGTGTGCTTCATTGTCTTCTCCAGTTACCATGTTTCTGCTTCTCTGGTGTCCAGCTCTTTGTCCCATCTCCCAGGTGGCACTGTGCACCCACCATACTTAATTGATCTAGTCTAGTAGCTGTATGCGGGTGGGTGACTATAGGAAGAACTCTGACACCCTCTTACATTGTTGTTGATTTGAAAAAAGTTAGGAGTCCCTTGACTTTCTGACTTGCCTTTTCAGCAGCAGAGACTCTGCAGCTGTTGGTCGTATCTGCAATATTTTGTAACATATGGTAATATATGACTAGGTATTTTAGAGACAGAGGAACTCAAGGGTGATGAAGGCTCTTCAGGCTAATTAATGCTTTGGAATTAGTATATATAATCATAGGTTCAGGTACTACAAAACTGCTACTTGAAGAACATTCACTGTATTCTGAAGCATTGTCCTGAGTTACTGTTAGAGACAAACCTATGGACAAAAGGAACCATTGTTCTGACAATGCATGGCAAACCCTATTTTACTTAACAACAAAAGGAATCAAAATTGGAATTCAAGGTTTTCAAATCCTTGAGCATGTGTGGGCCTGGATATGTTTTTATGAGGTTTTACCTACTTATTTTGGTGTATTGTGTGAATTCATCTATGGTCTTTTAGTTACATAAATACCTATTTCATTATCTATCACCTTCCTAAATGATAAAGCGAAAAATAAGTCTGAAATATTTGCATGGAGGCAAAATCTCTGTACTTCTCTAGAAGAAAGATGGCATCGTGAATTGAATTAGGTAAACCCTCTTTATCCTTTTTATCATTTTTCCTGCTTTCTCTGTTCTTAAATATCATTATTATTTTGCAGCCATCTTTGCGCATCTCATTTTACAACTTTTAACTGTGTTAGGAACTAGTATCCCTTAACTAGATAAGGTGATTTGTCACCCCTTCTGTTTTGGTTTTGAATCTTGTTGGTAAAAACACACAGTTAATGGCAATGACTGAAGAAAGCTATCTATTAGAGCAGTGCTACTGTGTGGTATATGCTCTGCAGCCATTACTTTCAGAAATCCCTTAGTTTAGGGCACATCCTTGTGACTTTTCTCTCAAGCACCCTATTAACAGTGCACTTTGTCTCAAGCTGTATTGCAGCTGATAATAAACAGAGGGATCTTGGTCACTGAATGAATATGAGAAAGCTGTTTGAGCATGCTATGGTTCATATTCCCATCCAGCTGCTTTGGGCTTCTGTCCTCTTGAAACCCGAATGAACAGTGAAGGTTTCTAATTAGGTTTGAGGGTGAGGGTCTCTTTCTGGTCATATATCACTTTTTTAGGCAGGGCTTCCACAGATTTTGCAGACGGAAAATGCATGAAGCTGTCAAAACAGCATCGTCTTCAGAATGACCTGAAGAAAAGGGTTTTGTGTGAAGTTGACTCTTTGTAGGAGGGTGGGGAAGGAATAAGAGGGAAGAAGGATAGTGAAAATCACCAACGCCTTCCATAAAACAGCTCCTGGTATGCTGATCAGATCAAAATGATAGGCATATGAACCAATATATCAGACTGATGCAGCATGGTGTGGATGTGTGCTGCATTGGTTGCGCACCAGTAAATAATGATCTCTGCATGTTTGAGTTGGTTTTTGCTTTTTTAAGGGTTGTTTGCTTTCATGTTAAAACTTCCTTCTGTGGCATTAAGGTCTAATGCTACATAGTGCCATGGTTGGTACAAGAATTTACCTGTGTGAAATTTAATGGTCTGATGTGATTTTAAGCCCACTGAGATCAATAGAGAAGAACATTTCTATGTGGCTTATACCCTGTGTGGCTGGAATGGAGCTGCGGCAGTGTTTAGATGTACCAAAGCACTCATCTGCCTCTTGGGAGAGATGACTTTGTCCCCATTGTAGAAAATAATGATGATAGTAAAGGTAGTGGGTATTGACATAATAGAAAAGAGTCAGTTGGTTATGTTTTGGTGACCTTTTGTATGTTTCATGTTTGAAGGGCATAACATTAACTCACCTGGAGAGGGCTTCTCATAGTGAGAGGGAAGGCAAGGCCAGAGGGTGTTGTAATACAGGTTTCTCTTTAATTTTTGTTCTTTTCTTTTCCCTCCAGCTGGAACCTAGTGGCTACTGGTACTTGGGAGACAGCCTGTAGACTTTGTGTTTTTAAATTTACACATGATTCAAGATTTGAGACATGCTGTAAAACTAGATCTTACTATTGCACAGGTGTCTGTGCATGCCACATTGTAGAATCATAGAATGTGTTGGGTTGGAAGGGACCTTAAAGTTCATCTAGTTGCAACCTGCTACCATGAGCGGGAATACTTTCCACTAGACTAGGTTGCTCAAAGCCTTGTCCAGCTGGCCTCAAACGCTGCCAGGGATGGGGCATATAGCTGGAATACATCTGGAAAAGATCAGGACAGAGCCAGCTGGACACAACAACATGCACAGTGGTCCTGAACGAATACACCAGACATAAGAAGTTATAGTAGAAACCCCTTTTCCTCCTCCATTTCACCTCTGTGTGCTGGGCTGTGTGGCTGCAGGGTCATGGTTATGGGCACTGGCAGCCACGGAGCCCAGTTGAGGCTAGATGGTGATGAACCTTTTTCAAATATATGAAATGGGCTTTTATCAGTGGTCTCTTCCCCTGGGACTGGACCAGGAGGCAATTTAATGCTGCCATGAAAAGCCCTGTATTCTTGGTTGCAGCTTTGTCTGTCGTGTCACGGAGGTGCTGGCGTCCATGGAGGTAGCTGAAGGAGACGGGACTGCGGTGATGTGGGGAGCCTCTGGCTGGCCCCATGGGAAGGATGGTACCCAGCATCTAGCCTGTGTGTTTCCAGCTGGGTGATGTGACTGAGGGCTTGGTTGACATTGTTTTGTGGTAAATTAAGGAGGTTTTATCACCTGCCTTGCGATAGCCTTGTAAGGGGAAGTGGGGGCAGACTGGGGCTACTGGAGTGTTACCTATACTCACAATGTTGCCTTGCTGCAGGTTTTGGTTGTTTCTGCTCCCAGCCATGCTGATAACCCTCACCCCCAAATGCTGGGACACATCCTGCAATTCAGCCTGAAATGAGGTCAGTCGACTGTCAGTAAGTGACCCATTTTCCCAGCTCTGCTGAGCGCACTTAGCCATGAGGCAGCCTGGGCTTGAGCCGTGTCCCTCTGCTAGAAAGTGTTGATGTGTGAAAATAGGAGTTTTAGTGAAGCTGTGTTTAGCAGGGGCGTCTTGTATCTTGGTCAACAATGCCTGAAAACCAAAGGGAGGCTGAGGTGGATACTAAAAAGTCACTGTAAAATCACAGTAACTAGCACTGCAATAAACCTGTGTTTTTCCAGCATTTTTGCTCACTGTAGGGACTGTCACAGTTTAAATAAAACTAGAGTTAGAGGGCTGTTTTTTAGAATATCCAAGCCTGATTCTAGGAGAGGGAGGGGGTGAGCAGCTATTTAAGACGAGGATGTCACAATGTCTGTGAAAATCTGATGGTCTGTTTTAGCTTTACCTTATCTGCACTGTAGATTTGCTAGAGACTTGTATATATTCATGCATTAAAGAATTTCAACAAAGTGTGTTGAAGCTGCATTCTGGAAGGAGGACCTGTTGCTTCCGCATGATGTTTTTCCCTTTGTCTTCTATATCCTATTGCTCTCTCAAACAAACCCCAGTCTGCCATTTTTTGTGCTTTCACCAATGTTTTCTGAGCTGGTTTTGGAAAGCAACAGGAAAACCTTAAAATATTTTTCTTACCTTGAGGGTGATATGCTTCTAATATATGGGTTGAGACCGAATGTTTTCAAACACAGGGTGAATAGATCATATACTTCTACTGAACCATTAGAAATTAAGTGTAGAGGCTTTCTTGGAGTGTATTTTGTACATGAGTTCAAATAATTCGTACTGTGTTAGCATTTTAAAATTGGGCTACTGAAATTAAAAAATGATGCTTATAATTTTTTAAAGGGTGTGAGAAATATTCATTGTTATTTAATCTTTACTCTTACAGAAAGTATTCATCTCTATATCTAAAATATGTATCTCAATATTTATAAATTTCATATGCATCTCCCAGTTTGTTCCTCTTTCCTGTGTAACTGTACTTTTACGTTATACTCTTGTGTGTTACAGTAATCTTAATTGTCCCTTTTTACCTTGGGGATGAAAAAGAAAATCACCTGTACATCTGTCCCTACTCTCATAATAATAAAACTTTTATGCTCCACTGAATATTTATCTCCAAGCGCTGGCACCAACATCTTCAGATGGGGCTGCACAGAGCATTTGAAACCGGGGATGCCCTGTGGCAGTTAATCATATGTAATGTGGAGCTTAGGAGGAAAAGGAAATTGTTTTACGACTGTAGGTGCTAAAGAGGACAAATAAGGCTAGGAAGAGATACTGTTGTCTGCAGGCCTTTAGTGTGGCTGCAGGAAATGGGCTGTATGCATCATGTGGGAGGACCCCTAAACATATCTGTGGCTTTCAGAAATACATTTAGGTCATTGATACTTTGAAAGCTCTATACATTTTGAGCGTAGGGGCATGTAAACTCAGAGTGAAGGCTAGCATCCATCTGTGGCTGCTCTTATTGTATCCACAGGAATTTTAGATCAGTGAAGAATGTTAGCAATTATGTGCTGAAATAACTAAGTACAATGGGATGAACTAAGGAAAGCACTTCAGCCTTGAATTTGAATTTATTCTGGTTTCTGTCAGTTTGTGCCAACACCCGTTGCAATGCTTAGTGTGTCTCTGGGGCTGTCCTACATTGTTCAGTACAGGAAATTTGAGAGAGTCAAGTTCAGCAGCTAGTGTCTAACTTGCATGTATGGATGTGATCTTTACACTGGTGCAAGCCATTTGCTGCATGGGGTGGTTTCGCTGCTGGATTTGTGAAGGTATCTTATGGATGTGATGCTGGCTTCTCCCTTTTGGCACACAATCCTTTATAGCAGGTATTGTCCTGGATTTTCAGGTTCAGAAGAAGTAACCATCATGTCACTTGACTTAAAACTTCAACCCCTCCTAGCATCCTCATGTGCTGCCTCATGCTCTGCTTGTTACCCACTGTTCTTTCCACTTGTAACTCCTAAAGGACTAAACCCAGAGCTCTCTGCCTGACCTCGTATCCAGGCCACTGGACAGACTAAAACAAGGAGGACAAATTCCTTTGAAGTTGTGGAACTGTTCCCCAGAAACTGACTTGAGCCCAGTGCCAGATGCAGCATCCTGGGGTCCTCAACACTGCCTCCCTGGAAGGGGATCTGATTCCCATGGTTCCTCTGCAGTGCAGCCTTCTCCCATTGCATAGCAATGGGCTGAGCATAGCTCTAAACCATCTCGGAATGACAGACACTTGCAGAAAACCCCACTGCAAACTTCCTTTCTTAAAAGCCAAAACACACTCTAGGACAGCCTGGGGTCTATGACTTCCAGTTGGGGCAGTTAATCAAAATGTTTGCCATGTATTGTGTGAGCTTCTTCACAGTTTGTGCTTTTGATGATCTTTTAAACATCTGCAGAACAGCATGGCTTGAATAGGTTTCTGTTACTACTCCAAGCCTTCACTGGCTCTGGAGAATGAGTGAAGAGGAGCCAGACAACATAAAGGGCAGACAATCAAAGCTTTTGACTCTCAGATCCCTGCAGATGGGCCTTCTGATGAAATGACTAACAACTGTTGCCAGATCAGCAAGTAGCAACCACAAGGCACCTGTATATATTTAACTTTCATTTTGTCAGATAACTTGTCTTTATGCTCCTGCAGTTTTAGCTATGGAATATAAGTCACGATGCTTCCTTCTGATCTCCATAACACAAGTGTAAAATGAGCCACTTGAGATTGGCTGTTGATAAGAGTTCTAATGTAAAAGCAGCATATGCAAAGGCACCATCAGGCTGAGGTGCAGATGATGAGTCCAGTGTCTAGTTTGTTTGAAACATCTTTATTGTCAGCCTCTGGGGTGAAGTCTTCTAAGGGCACATTCTAGAAGGAGGAAAGGCTTTTAGCAACGGCCTTTGGTTATTGTAAAAAGAAAAAAAATAATAAAAATTCAGTGACCTCATTTTTCTTTTCTGAATAGTGAAACTATCTGCAGCCAGGGCCCCCCAGTTACTTCAGGCTGTCCTGTGTGAGACTCTAGGTGCGGGACAGCCAGCTTTCCTGACCTTGCAAGCAGCTTGCCAAAGCTGAGAACTTGCCAAATGCCTCAGGCTACAAACCGGGCACCTTGGAACCCGCATTCAAGGAACGGCTTGCAGGTGGCTTTGCCAGCAGCTCCGCAGTAGTTGTGTTACTCTGGCCATTATGGAGAGGAACAAAGCTGTGTATGTGGCTGTGTCCTAGGATGACCCAGTGGCATTGGCTTACGTAGCTCCCGCCTTTTGTGGGTGCAGACTCTAACTGCCCAGTTGCCCCTATGCCAGTCTAGCCCTGCTGCCAGATGCGTCAGTGTAGCCCTGGCACACGAAGCAAGCTGCTTGCTCATGGGCCATGTGAGGCTCACCTTATTCTTGCTCATTCCCTTGCCTTCCTTGAAGGCAAATGTCCAAAATGTGCAGTGATGAATATTGGCTTCTGTCAGAGCAAGTTAGAACACACCTTGTGGCCCTGATTGCAGCTAGGTTTGGATGCCATGGTGCCACTGAAGGTGGGCCACTTGACTGTTTCTGGAAAGTAGATTACTGTGCTGGGAGCCAGGTATCTGAAAAATGACAAATGCCAGATCTGTAATTATTTCTGTATCTATCATTCTCTGCTTTTACAGCTTTTACCTGTGTGCTTTTGGTCACTAGTGGATTTTCACCAAATAACATCCTGCTCATATATGTGATAAGGCTTGTTGACATAGGATAAAATAACAAAGTGAACATGCTCAAGTGTTAGAAGCAACATTGCTGCACTACCATGAGACTTGGCCCAAGTTTTTTTTAGCAACTCATGTAGCTGTGCCTAAAGTTTTGTGAAGGGATATGCTTTTGTGTTAAACGAGCAAATGTATACTCTTTCTGACAGTGGAAACTACCTAGAGCCTAGAGTTCTGCTAAATTTGATCTTTTCTTTGTATGTCTACAACAAGATCTGATAGTTAAATGTCTTTTATGTGATTTTTGATGAAAATAGTTTTCTTTGGGCACTTCTATCTAGCTCTCTTCTGATTATATACATTATTCTGATTGTATATATTCTGATTATATGATATGCTGAAGAGGAGACATAGCTGATTCAAAGTATTTCAATCTAGTGAAATTAGACCAGATTGATTACGGGCGTGCATAGTAAGTGTAGCACTTGAAAGCAAACCAACTACTTCCTCTTGAGGAATGTTCTTAGAGGGACTTGAAATTCAGATTGATTCCAAGTTTTCAATACCAGGATTAAAGTATTTAGCTCTGCCTTATTGCTAATTTTGAGCTATAGGAAATGGTCTATTTTCAAAGTAAGTAAAACCTTTTGCAAGGAATTCTGCTGAAAAAAGTGAAATCAAAGGGAGCCAGGGGATGCTGTGGCATATGGTGGGACCAAGCAAGAATGGTCCCATCTTTCCCCAGTTTCCCAGCTGATGTGTTGGCTTCTCTGTGGCTTCTTTTCCCAGAGTCATCTCTTGCAGGGATTAGCTTTAATCTGAATTTATGCAAAGATAAGAGCACAGAACAGTGTCTTACCTTGTCTAGAACTGTGAAAAGAAAATGCTGGTTTTGCTAGCAGATTAGAGCTAAGGTTACCTGCAAATTTCCTGGCCTTTGTGAATTTTAGAAATCAAATTTACTTTTGCATTAACATCACATCTTAAAGTCAAATTTCCTTGTTTGTTTCTAAGATAAGGTGAAAATCAGGAACAGGAGTCTATTTTGCCAAGATACTGTGGTGAGGCCAGTTTTGATTAGATTTTACTAAAGCAACAAACAAACTGGCTACACTCATTAGTTTTAAATCAATGAACAAATTCAGGCAGGTATATATATATAATTTTTTTCTCTTATAAAAAAAAATGTCTGACGTTTGCTTCTGTACAGATACTGTGGCAATATTAAAGTTATCACACAGCTTTTTCTAGAAATTCTCACTGACAGCAGTTTTTACATAAAGATGTATCAGCTTGGTCAGGAGCTCCAGGCTTTCACTCCCAGGAAATATAAGGAAAAAACATTGGTGTTGTACTTAGGGGTTAAAAATGAGATTATTACATGTTTTCTTTTTAGTAAGTACAGTTAATATTTACTACTTACGGAAGTAAATATTCTGTATGTTATGAGGTAGGATTGAATGCGGCATCACTATTCTGTTTGTTCATGATGCTTGAACCAGGGATAATGATCAAGAGTCATAGGTGAATATACAAATCCAAGCCTTTGCGTGGTTCTGGACATGTTTTTTGGGCATATCTTCAAAGAACAGGGGAGAGGCCTGGTTTGGGAGGGTAAGAGTGCTGTAGTAAATGTTTTTCAATGAGGCTTACATGGATTTACTCATGCTCTGCAAAGAGCTGGTTTGTCCAGCTCTCCAGATAAAACGTGATCTGCTTATCACAGAAAAATGCAAAAAAGGAGGTGAGCAAAGTTTTTATTTATTTTTCCTGTGCAGTTCCTGTACCTGTCAAAAGGAATTTGTGAGCTGGAGGATGAGGAGGATGTGTGGTTTCCTTAACTGTGACTGAGGGAAGGTGGATCTGTAAGACAACTTGGACAGTATGTTTGTTGCTATAAAGGAACACTTGGGAAATCCTGTTCTGTGCATTTGAATGTGGCAATCATCCTAATGCTCTTCCTCATCACGAACTATAATAGCCCCAACTAGGATCGGAGCACATATTGCCCCACTTGTAACAGATGTGTTGAAACCCTTTCTGCAGCAGTTGCTCTAACTTGGTAGCTGGAGGTGGTTTTGCTGACTAAGCAGCATTCCTGGTATACTGGCAGCACTGTGCACAGCTTGCATATACTATGTCTGAAGCTATGGCTGGGCACTCTGCTTATAGTTTGGTAGGCAGGGAAAGGGCGCAAGAGCAGGAGAACGAAGTATGAGCAATGTAAGTGTAAGGAACAGGATTCCCATTTAGCTTCAGTGCTGGGGAAATGCTGCACTGCTGCTTGATGGCTCACACAGAGTAATGTGAACTTTGTGGCCCTGCCTTGCTGCTGGTTACACAACGCTTTCCTTCACTTTGCCATTAGCTATATCAGACTGCCTGTTAGCAAAATAACTTGTCTCACCTGCTTTCACTTTTGATGTCATGACAGTTGCTGGTTTTACGAATTGTTTTCTGTTTGTCAAGCTGTTCTGCCTGGCTGGCAATGTTTTGCCTGCTCAAAGTTTTTAGGTTCATACCTCAAGGACTTGTTACTAGGTAACAGAGTTCCATTCGCCAGTTTCCCACTATTTCCTTCTCACTGTTTTACGGGCCTGATTATTAACATTTAGGTCAGAGAAATTGCTGTCATTATGTGAAGTAACTTCCTTTAGAGGTTACTCATTAACCTTAGGTATTTTACTCTGCGATTATAATTGCCAAATGCCATAGGCACGGAAAACCTTTGAACTTCTCAAGGTATTAGTGTATGGGAGGAATGGTATCACCTGTGATTTTTATTCATTCTCCACATCCTCCCCCTACCCCACAGTTATTTTTCCTTTTGATTCTATTCTTGTTCCATTTCTCTTGTTGTGTTTCACAGCATACAGAGCCTGCCCAGCTGCTGTTGAAGGGAATGCTTCCTTCTAAAAGGGAGTCTGTCTCTTCCGTTCCCCTGTATAGATCTGAGCTTAGCCCTAGCAATGTCAGTGGTGGTACAGTGCTCATCTTCTGCTAACCAATGTAACCAAGACAATAATTTGATCTCTTGACTTTGCAAAAAAAGTGAAATAATTGGGAAACCAACAGTCTCATGTGGCATGGTCCATGCTGTTACCATGTAAATTTTTTTCTCAACATTTACAATGGCTCTTCCATATCTGCTTTGGAGAGATTCTCAACCAACTCTACTGCTACACATCGTGTTCAAGGAATGAAAATTTTCAGACAAAAACACCATTCCTCTTTTTTTGCCTCTCACTGTCTATGCAAGCAGAATCAGCTGCGTACTAAAGTGTTTACCTCAGGGTAACAAGTGTTCTCTGGAAAAATCTTACTAAACATATTTGTCTTTCTCCCCTAACCCACTCCTCTTCAGAAGTCCATCAACATTCCTGGTAACATGATTCCTCTGACAGGATAGAGAAAAGCTGCTGTAGTATAGGCCCGTGTTGCTATGTGACTTCAATGAAGGAATATATATCATATTCGGGAAATTAGGGGACAAATGAGATATATACATAGTGCTTAAACAGAACTGAAAAAATAGAAGGTGCACAGGCAATAGGCATATTTTACATGGAGTCAGATCTAGTTTTGACGCTAGGAAACAAAATGTTTGGTGGGCATGGAAACACTAGCCCAGTAAATCATCTAAAATACAACAGTAGAATAACCAGTGATATAAATAAAAAGGGGGGAAAGCTAAGGTGTTATTAACATGAGTCCTCCCACGTCTGAGCTGGGCAGGGGGGAGAACAAGATCATGACAAAGCAACTTCTGTTCAGCGTTTGATTTAATATTGTTTACCCACTCTGATCGGTCCTTTTAATCTCAGCCTGAGGGGTTTTGTTTGGTTAATTTGTTTGGGCTTTTTTTAAGGGGGAAAAACTGAGGGAGGAAAAGAAATCTCAAAACCAATCATGTGCTTGACATGATGCATGTTGTACAAGCTCCATGATGAAAGTGGGGGTACCCTGATATTACTAATTATGAAAAACATTTAATAATACAGTTTCTGATAGTGGCCTAAGTCTCCTTTTTTTTTTTTTTTTTTTAATGGTAATTTGTTTTTCCTTTCATCCCCCTTGAACAAATCTCGCTCTTGATTTCAGTAGATTTTCTCATTTGATGATGTGTCAGCTGTAACTTCTCAACTACGTGTGTTGCAATGAGATAGCCAGTGGAACTTGCTTTGACATCTGATGTTATTCCCTGGATTACATTCAGTGATCTGTGGAGTCCAAGCAGTGCAGAAGGTGGGTAGCTCTTTACAACTTTTTTTAGTAAAACCATGCTTCGCTGAATTTCTGTTTACTAGTTCTGTTTACCTTGCTCACCTGCAGGTCCAGATCCAATTCATGAGAGACCTAATTCAGCACAGTAGGGATAGCTTAGTGTTGAGGTTTTGTTTTTTAGGTTTATCGTCAATAAACCCACATAATTTAATGCAAACTAGTAGTAGAGGTTAAAAACAAGCAAACCCTACACTAGCATTAGCTACTTAAATCCTTCTTGAGAATACAGCCCAAACCACAATTTTCTGGTGTGTAATGTGCAAATTATTAGCAAAACTTTGGGCGTGAGAGAGCACTGGGTGAAGTTAAAAGCCTATCAGCTGCCATGATCACATACTGTATCGAGGATTTTGGAGTTCATGCAGGTACAAAAGCATGCTCCAAATCGTACTTAGCTCCTCGTTGTACCTCAAGCAAATGTATGCCGAAGAATCAGGCTAACAACTAAGACGAGGCATGTTACTGCCAGCTCTGGCATGTTTCTTCTATTCAAGAAGACTAGTAAATGTGCAAAACGTTTATTTATTTATGAAACACTGAATTTTTTTGCTGTCTACTGTAAGGGCATTGCATAATATTTAGCTTTGTTTTGTTTGAGCTGGTGTGAGGAAAATAACATTATTGTCATAAATTAAGGATCTGATTTTTTCTTTTTTTTGCGCATACATTTGTGGTAGTTCAAATGTTATGTTTTTTCTAAGCATCGAATTTTCAAGGGCAGAAGAAACTGATTTATTTTTAGTCCAAACTTAGACTACATGTTAATAAACAACAAAGTACTTTCCTCCACTGAAGTTTTGGCAAATTTTGTGTTAAACAGTGCTTATTAATCTCCCGTGGAAGACAGTGCAATGAAGTAAATCTCTCTTATAACAACCTGCATTGTAACTCCTCTTGGGGAATGGGGAGAAAAAAAACCCCAAGGTTTAGAGTACAGCGTAAACAGTGCTGTCCTTATGACATACAGTGACAGGCTGAAGTTGTCATAAATACTCTTTATTTTGCTAAGGTCTGAATATGTGCCTTTGCAGGTTTTGTTGGAAGCACGATTTATTGTTCTGGAACCTCTACAGAAACATCTGTGAGGTTCAGTGTATTATTTTCTCATAAAAGTTTGTTTCTTTCTGAAAATGGAATGCAGACCAATCTTACCAAATGGAGAAACATTATTGATTGACCACCAGGAGGGTTATATTTAAACTGGAAAAAAACTAATTTCGATATATTTGGTAAGATATTTAGGCTTTAAAAAAAAATAAAATTAAGTCATTCCTTTTCATTAGTCCTGATGTGGTCAGGATTTTTTTCCTTCAATCAGTAGTGGATAAATGGGACCTGTGTATTGCTTAATAGGCTGGTATATGTAGGAGGAGTGAGTAGGTGCAAGTTCAGGATCATCATGGGTAGGTGTATGTGTAGATATGCTTATGGCAGAAGTTGTCAGTTACAAGGGGAGGCAAAAAGACCAATGTAGGCATGTGAATGGCAAAACTGAGCACCTAGCAAATGCTGGGATCCTTCCTATGGTCCTTTTCCTGCCCCCTTCTTCCTCCCGCTTTTTCCGTTCCTTTTCTTCTCAAAGCAGAGCAGGGTTGTTTTTATTTGTTTTGGTTTTTTTTTTTTGGTTTTGTTTTGTTTTCTGGAGGGAAGGGAATAAAATGAAATCTTGGTCTCTTTAGGAAAAAAAAAGGCAAGAAACTGCTTACACATTATAATTTGTACAGCCAGGAAACATGGTGAGGTATGAGTAATAACATCTGACTCGCTGCATTGTGGCTACAATGTTTGATTTTCCTCTTTGCTTCCCCCCCCTTTCCCCTTCAAATGCAAAGCCGAGCTCTGTTGTTTCTGATTAAATGTGTGGTGAGCTGTGTGTCTTTAGAAAATTGCAAAATCCTCTCTCCCCACACCTCCTTTCCTCATGCTCCGTATTGCCCAAGATGGAAGTTGGGGCTCTATGGGGATTTACCATTTCCTCCTAGGATCACCTGTGCTGGGATTTAAGTAGAAGTTTGTTTCTTCAGCTGTCTGACTTTTGAGTTTATCTGACTCAGGTTTATAATGAGCTAGTTTATTTGCTTGTGTAAATTGGGTTTTCTTAGACAGAAATATAACAGACTGTAAAGAGGCCAATCTTTTGATCATTTCACCTCCGGAAGGGGGAAACCTACAATGCCTTTCTGCACTCACTGGGCACGCTCTGGGTTGTTAATAACACCAAGTTACTGTGCCTGAACACTTTGTTGTAAGATTATTTTTTTTTTTAACACTGCATTGTAAAGATCTGCTGTGTGGAAAAATGTAGTTTCTTCTCACAATGCTAGAAATTTTGATGGGGTTTAGAGGTTGATTAATTTTCTATTTGCAGGAAATACAGAGCCTTTGCTTAGCAACCAGCCTGAGAGTTACTGATTCTTCTTTAAATATATCTTTATGCTGCACCTATAGTCATGCATACAGGGAAAAATGAGGCTGAATGCTGGAAGAAAAGGAGTAAACAGTTTGTGAAAATGGTGCCAGTGTTTCCTCGATGTGCGTTGATTCTCTAATATAGCCCGACAAAGCTGGGGATGATGTGCCAAAATATCTTTTTAATAAACAACATAGGCAGTAGGAAATAGTACTGGTCAGGGCTTGTTTTTCTGGCTCAGGGCCTCATTCCAACCTGTTGCAACCAGCTATTGAACGTCTGTGGGGACACCCCTGTACAAGAGGCCCCATGGAGGAAAGGAACTTTTACATTTCTGTTTGACTGGGATCCTTGCCAGTGGCTAAGTTCAAAGTGCAGTTTCCAGTAATTTGCTGTTACTGCTCTGCATGTTTGATAGGCCAGGACAGAAGCATGCAACCTGAAGTAATATTTCCTGATTTCTGACATTTCTCGAGATACGAATGGAGGTTGAGGAGGCACTAAAACTTGGAAGGGTTTTCCTGATGCCAACACCTTCTATGCTTTCCTTTTCTCCTCTTGTGCACCCCCTTTCTTCCCCCACCTCCTCCTGTAGATCACATTCCCTGCTGTTGTCAGTTCCGTATTTGGATGCCATTCATATTGATTGTTTCCCTATGCAAACACTGTGCGGCTGTTCTTATGCAACCAGAAAAATCCTATTGATTTACTGAATGTGAGGGTTATTTAGGTGGATAACCTTCTGCAGTAGTGATAACATCCTCATCTCCCCTTAGAATTATAGTTAACCTTTTCATTTGGGGGCAGGGGATGCACACAATTTTTATTTTGTCCTATTAACAGTGGTAGGAGGGAGCTAAGCACAGAGAGAAGCCAGTAGAACAGCTACTGTTCTAATATATGCAGTTGTAGTCCATGTGTGTACCATTGTGGTTATGGAAGAAGAATCCTCTATAATTAGGATTATATAAGCATTCCTGTTGTAATTCTTTGTTTTCAGCTTTCCATAACTTGCCTCTTTTGGGCTGATCTTTTCCTGGCTTGTTCTTTGCCATGTCAAAACTTATTTATTTATTTTCAAAGCAGGGATACAAATGTTGCAGAGTGTTGAGGAAATGCATCTTTCTTCTGGCCTGTTTGAAAAAAAGCTCTTGGTGTTCTTGAAAAACAGATCCAGAGTCAAAATGAGCCTTAGAAAGTTGCCTGGATGTGATTGTCAAAGAAGGGAAAAGGCTTTCGGGCAGCACTGGTTTTATTACTGAATAATCTACATTTGTGCAGGTTAACATGAATGTGCTGTGTACGGGCAGCGCTGAGGATGTGAAGACAGCCTTAAATGCCTAAAAACCTAATTTGTTTGTTTGGTTTTTTTTTGTATATAAAGCATGCAGACTTTGGAGATACACAGAGGCATGGGGGTGTTAGTAGAGCTACCTACAAAAGCAGAGCAGTAGGAAATTTAAAGGTGTGTTCGGTTCTAACTGCACCTTTACAGGAAAGTGAACATTCACATGAACACAAGCTGAGCTGAAACTGTGTGTGGTGATTTTGCACTAAAGCTTCACTTGCTGACTGCTCTGGTGTTTCTCACCTCTGTTTTGAAACCCAAGTAAAATTCCTTTGACTAGTATATAGGTAGAGTTTTAAAATAAATAAGCAAGCAAATACTTTTTCTTCCAGAATGCACTGACAGGTGTTCACACGGTCCAAGCACTTGTGGGGTTTTAATCATTAAACTCAACAGTTCCTTGAAAGCAGAGGAATTTGGAGTTAATTCTGATCTTTATACTTATACTGTGTCCACTGTGGTGACATACATGGGGCTGCCTAAACAGCAAGCTGAAGGAAACAGTGGGAACATATTTTTGAACTGAATGTTTCAAATACTGTAATTGGAATTGCATTATTCATTATTACTGCTTTTTTTCCGACGTTTAGTCAAAAATTCTCTAGGGGGTCAGTGGGAGAAGGCATTGAGTAGCAAATAATCACAAGATGATCTACAGTGGTGATTAATTTGCCCGTGAGCATAGTGCATCGCTGGTACCAGGGTGTTTGTCATGTGTCAGGCAGCTGTGTTCCATTGCCGGATGCTCAACCCTCCTTTTTAACTAGCTGCAGTGCGTTGGCCTCCCTCTGTTTCGATTTTTGGCCAGAAGAATATGAATGGAGTGAAAGGGAGAAGCCTGTAACCTCGTCTGTGATTTTTCTTCTTTTTTAATTAATTGTGTGCATGAATGAACCCAGGACAGGGAATAATTTACCAAATGCTGGCTGCACAAAGTTGTTGAAACCACAATCTCCTGTGGGTAACAAAGCCTCTGGCTGTGTTCCAAGCACTGTGAAGTGACTGAAGAATGTTGAGTTGCATCATGAGACCAAATAGCAGGTAAACAAAAGGCGTATGCCACGTTCAAATGAAGTAACTCCTCATAAACCTTGAGGATTGAAGGGATCTTCATGCAGCTGTGTTGCTGAGTAGCTTCCTGTCCAAGAGAAGCACCAAAGTTGTTACATTAAATATCTGTAATGAGTCACTAGACTGAAACTA